CTATGAGTCGGTTCCGACTCGATGGTACCTGACAACAACAACATGAGTCAGTATTTACATGGTGGCACACAACCACCACCATGTTGCTCTGATGGGGGCTCTTTTCACACTGATGTCCTACCTTTCTTAGTGCATCAAACTAAATCCTGTTCAAACACGCTATGTAACAAGTTTGCCATTGAGTTGGTTCCAACTCATAATAACCCTGTATAGGGTTTTCAAGGAACGGCTGGTGGGTTTCAACCACTAATCTTGTGGTTAGCAGTCAGTGCTTATCCTGAAGCACCTCACTAGGATTCCATATAGAAAATTAGCAAGGGTTTATTTTCATAGAAAAAAGAAGTGAAATCCATGTGGAGATTTTTTTATAACATGCATTTCCATGAACTTTTTGAAGACCCTTCATACATGTAATATTATATACAGACACGTATCATTGTGTTGTTTGCTTTCCTGTGCTTTGCAGATATGATGCTGTTTACAAATTGAAGGTCTGTGGCAACCCTGCGTGGAACAAGTCGACAGCACCATTTTTACAACAGCATGTGCTCACTTCGTGGCACTGGGTCACATTCTGGTAACTCTTGCAATATTTCAAATTTTTTTGTAATGCTATTGCACACTTAACATACTACAGTTTACTGTAACTTTTATATGCACTAGGAAGCAAAAAAAAAATTCATGTGATTTGCTTTATGGTGATATTGACTTTATTGTGGTGGGTGAAACCAAAGCCATAATATCTCTGAGGTATGCCATTACCAAAATGGGCACTTGCTTATTTGCTAATGAGAGCTGAAACTGGCAAGAGCCGCTAGTAAACCGTTTAACAAGAAATAGCAAGAACCCTTAAATCGTCCATATTCTTTTGACCCAGTTATTCCAAATCTAGGACTCTAACCCTAATGAGAGAATCCAAAACCTACACACATGATACATAAATATGAGAGAATTTCAAAAAGTTCACGGAAAAACAGAATTAAAAGTTATGGAATACACAGAGTAGATAGGGATGGGCAACTTGGACATTGGCTACACAAAATGGGGAAGGGGCTACAAAGGCAAGAAGTGACTGGATTACAAGCTTTCAAGAGGGAACCTAGATTCAGAGGGCCTGGAGGAAGGCAGAATCTCCACTGAGTAGTATCCAATCTGTCTAGGTGGGGCTGATGAAATGAAATGCAGATAGGTCTCTTGTGATACAATAGTGAATAATTGTTATCTGGACTGCTTGTGAGGGTTGGAATTGTAACGGTAGACGCTTTGTAGCAAGGAGGGGAGTGATTAACTTTTTAGCCTAAGAGCGGAGGTCCCTGGGACCATCAAGGGAGAAGAGCAGAGAGCGGGACCCTACCCAGAGAAGCAGTGATGCCTGAGATGGAGGCAGAGATGATGATGTGGAGAGGTAGAGCAGTTGGGGTCTTTAGAGAGGGAAGAGAGAGGGGCTGTGTGCTGATGACTGGGGGGCAGGCTTGTAGTGTATACCCTTTGGTTGGTTGATGATGCATGGAGGGGATCGTAACCATAGCAATGAAATGATATATGATAGGATGAATGTAAAATTAATGTTCTCCCATGTAAACTATCACATAATTCAAAATAAAACATGTTTTAAAAAGTTATGGAAAATTTCCACAAACTTTTTGAAGCCCCCTCATATGTTCATTAAAAATGTGCCATTCACACTACTGATAAACTTAAAACCATCATAATGGTTTAGCTTTCAGAGAGTAATTATAACACTTTTTACACAGAACATGTAATTTAGCCTGCCTTTTCCAAAAGGATTTAAG